GTCATGAATTCTGCAATTTTTAATTTATATGCAACAATAACGAGTAAATATTTATTTCTTGGAGATTAATTGCAGTTAATTAGAAATTTTTTAGCAATTACCCTTTGATAGATTAGGGGATATATTTGGCAATAGTCAAATCAGCAGTTGCCAGATTGCAAAAGATGGTAGGACAAATATCTACTCGTTATTGCTTCATACAAATTAAAAATTGAAGAAGTCATAAAATAGTATAATCAAAATGTACTTTTTAACAGCTTTATCTCTTTATATTTGAAGCATACATACGTATTATAAAAACATGGCAACACTGCCAAACCTAAATATTTTCGACATTTGCGGCTATATTCAGCTTGTACTTTCGGTAAACTTAAATGCAGATACTGGGAACGAAATAAACCAGAAAACCAAATTATTGGGAAATGCAGAAATAGATGTATTGGAAAAGCTAGAAATAAATCACAATTTGAATTGAAAATATAAATCGAAAAATCACATTTTCAATAAAAATTGTGGTTATTTCTGTTAATTAAAGTGGATAATAGAAACTCTATGCTACGTCAGTTTAGACTGATGACCATGATATTATATTTCCTTCAACTATTAGTTACATTTGCTCATTGTTTGCGATAACGAGACAAAGAGAACTATTATCAAAAGAGCGAATAGAGTAGAGATAACTTTATGAAATGCTGCACGAATATTGAAAAGTGGGGACAGAAGGCATCATTGACGCTCTTATCTCTGTATGGGAAAATATTCCTTATTTTGCACATTCGGTTCGACCCAATATCAATTTACGGATGAATTAATATAAGCTGCGAGGCATAAGTTAATATAGTTTTTGTGACTATTTAAAGAAATAAATAATTAAATTAAATTTAAAAGTTGTTTATGACCCCAGGAAACAAGCCAAAAATCACTTAAAAATAAAACATTTCATAATAGGAGCTTTTATGTAGTTAATATATTCGCTGAAGATGGATCTGATAGAACTGTCTGACGAGGAGTTAGACAAGGTTGCATTTTGTCGCCAACATTGTTAAATGTTTAGTCAAACCATTTATTTAAAGACACTTGAGAGACAACCAAAAGGAATAAAAATCAACGGGGAACTACTTAATGTGATTAGATATACAGATGATACAGTAATTCTGTCAGATAAATCCTACTTGATGGTATTCACGGGATAGAATAGGAAATGGGCATACAAATAAACTCAAAACAAAACCAAATTTTTAGTGATTAGTAGTGACCCACATCCCGATGGAAAGCTTTAATTAAACTAAGTTGAGAAAGTTCACAAAATGACATATTTGGGAACTGTGATAATGAACCAACTAGATCCAGACATAGAAACGTAGAATAGCAATGATTAAAACTATTTTATGAAAATGAAGTTATTTCTTTGCAATAATCATCTCAGTGTAGAACTAAGACAAAGAATGGTTAAATGCTATGTTTGGCCCGTACTTTTGTATAGTGAAGAAGTGTGGACGCTAAAAGTATCGATCATGAACAAAATTAAAGCATTGAAAATGTGGACGAATGCTGAAGATACATTGGACCGTAAGGAAAACTAATGAAGAAGTACTAAGGAGCGTCAACAGACTGTTAAAAATCGAAAAATGTCATATCTGGTATATATAGGAAGGGGAAGTCTATATAAAATATTACAACTGATCCTTAAAGGCAAAATAGAGGGCCATAGAGGTGTAGGAAGGAAACGAGTTTCTTGGCTGAGGAACATTCGTGAATGGACTAGATCAAATGTGAGACAATTTTCCATATTGCAGAAGATCGAGACGCCTTCGCAATGGTGATCGCCAACGTCGGAAATTCTGATATGGCACGCGAAGAAGGACCTGCCGAATGATAAAAAAAGGTCATTTTTATATGACTGTACAGGTACTTTGTCGAATGGCTTTTTGGTCTGATTCTCTTTATAACAAGTCATCCCTAACTTATGCCAAGCAGTATATAAACCTGACAACAAAGAAAAACAAACGAAAGAAACTCTATACTTACTGCATTGTTTAGAAGTGAAATTTTTATGCCCTAGGCCTCAGAAGGCCTGTCGAGCTAAATAAGCAATGTCATCTATATACTGAATTGCTGTTTAGAAGTGAAATTTTTATGCCCTAGGCCTCAGAAGGCCTGTCGAGCTAAATAAGCGGATGTCATCTATATACTGGATTGCTGTTTTAACGAAAACGCTTGTTTAAAACACTTCAAAAGAAAACGCAGCACTTCACTTACACACAAACATACAATACAACTTTTGAGTAAAGGCGAATTATCGTTGCGAATTTAAAAAAATTTACGAATGGTTTGAAAGAAAAGTTCAATCACTAACTTGCGAGTAAAATCCGTTGATGTTTAAAACATGAAAAGGACATCTGGCCTTTTACGAAATTTACAGAATTTGGGTAAAATTTCTTTAAAAAAAAAAATAACCATTTTTAATTCGCATCACTTGTGAACCTCATAAAATTTTCAAACAGAATGAAAATTAGTAGAAAAATTATATAAATTGATGATGAAAGATGATATAATAAGCAAAGCAATTAAAAGCAAGGAATAAATTTGGCAAATATAACTAAAAGCTGGTTAAGAATACGCTTGTTACAAAAATAATTTAGAACAGAAAAAAGTTTTTGAAAGTAAAGAAGGATGAGATTTGGCGTTTTAGAATGTCTTGTCCGCGTAGGATATTCTCACTAAAAACGAGTAATTTAACGACAGAAAATATTCAAATTGAAAATGAACATTATGTTGTTGAAGTTATGGAAGTCTAGCGTTTCGATTCAGAGAAACTGAAAGTGACAACAGAAACGGGCGCTCAAATACACTAACGGTATAACTTTGGCTGAGTTTGTATCATACAGATTTCGTATTAGGATAAAAAAGGCTGATAGGCGCTCCCATATATCCCTTATACTTCCAATGGATTCCATTTTACCAAATCGAGAGCCTTTAATTCACGAAATAGAGCAGTATTAGTATATTGAGGAACTTTCCTCGCTACGAATGTTAACTTGATTTCTTAGCCATTCATTGATTATATGAAGCACTATTTTGCTTGCACGGCTTTGCCTATTTGTTGCATAAGGTTAGCGATTCTTCGTTACGGATAGGGATACAGATTAATTCGCACCACTTACCTGTGATCCATATCATATTGCAAATATTAAATCTATGCCAACCTTGCTTATTGTTTTCAGACCATATACCATCTATACCTAGATTATTTCTTGCATATTTTTTGTGTTCTGAGACTGACGCGTATAATTCTCAGCACTAGTTTTTCCAGGTTTCTATAATTCTCACCATGTTAGTTTTTACTTTATGTAAATGAATGGCCATTTGGTTCTTTGTTTGGACCAGTCCAACCTTGATAGCCTTCTTAGTTCACTGGCAAACTCTGCAGGAGGCGTTCTCCTCTGTTTCTAATACCGCAGCCAAATGATTCTACATTATCTTTTACAGGACATTCATTTTCAGTTGTTCTGACCTTTTTGTTAATTAAAGTCTACAATATCAATATACTGACTCGTTTTGTGTGATTTTCTTAACATTGGATTCTTCCAGTAGGGATCTATAGAGGAATATCATTTATCTCTTGCTGTACTGCTCTTCCATAGGCCGATCAGACACCAGCGTATTAGTCTAAATTGCAGATTCATTTAGAATTTTAAACTACTACATTAGCCTTCACCGAGGTGGACCGCCATGCTCAGATATTTAAGTCAACAGTGCACTGATCAGTAGTTTGTATACATCAATATCTCAACTGCAATGTATGATAGTATCAAACAATACCAAGTAATACAGTTTTAAACATTAAGCACTTCTGAAACTGTGTCGTTTAATAAATTTTGTCTATTTGTGATAATAACGATTAATGATTTTTGAAACAAAATCAAATATAGGTGGCCAATCACGGTCGTCTTTCAGGTTGCACCCTGCTGATTCAAATAAATTGATGAAGTGATCAAATGATGAGGCGTCACCTCACAAAGCACGTCTTAACTTGCATGACTAGTCGAATAAGTAGTAACTAGTTGCGCAATCAATAAAAATTATCGGCTGAGTTTAAAGTACAAGCTGAATATAGCCGAAAATGTCAACCATGAAATGATATCTCGGTTTGGCAGTGTTGGGATGCTTTTATAATGTTGTATGCTTCAAATATACAGAGAGAAAACTTTTAAAAGTACATTTTGAAATTATTTTATGAATTCTGCAATTTTTAATTTATATGAAACAATAACGAGTATCTTGTTTTATATAAATCAAAAACTGTAGAATTTTATGACAATATAATCAAAATTCTAAAGCTTTGTCTCTAAATTTTTGAAGCATACAGCATCTACATTATAAAAACATGCAACACTGCTAAACCGAAATTTTTTGTTCTATGTTTGACATTTGCGGCTATAATCAGCTTGTACTTTCGGTAAACTCAACCTAAGTATCAATATATTAATAAACAAATAAAGCATGAATAAAGCATGAAAAGTATATTCGTTAGTACAAAAATAAAAATATAAAAGAGAAATAAGATTGATTTAAAACATCAAATATGATGGGTTCCTTTAAAAAGTGCCAAAACAAAGGAGTAGTTTGTTTTGGCACATTGATGTTCTTGTTAATATGATTTTTCAAAGATTTCCTGGGAATATGCCACTAATTGTTCTTCGACAAATAAACATTGTAACTAAGACATTTCGACTATTTGTAGTAAACATACTTCACTGTCATTCTTTTGCAGTTCACCTATAAACAAAAACAAAAGATAATTATGTGAACCTCCATATTTACGGAATTTGTTGCACACTGAACCCACATTCCCCCCAAATTATTTTCTAAATGCAGTAAACGCTGCTAAATAGAGAGCTATTTTGATATATTTTATGATTCTATACAGACATTAATTAAAAAATATTACCACAGACCTGAAATATTAGTAAATTATTAAACTATAACTAATTACGTACCATCATATTGGTTTCTTCTTGTCCTTCTCCTGCAACAAGAAAAATAAAAAATGAAGATGTTACCCTTAACCCATTATAGACCAGCGACCTATTTATAGATCACTGAAAATTTTTGTCAACCTTCATAATTTGTTTAAATTTACAGAAAAATTGTCCATAAATATTTTATTATGAATTATAATTTCTGTTTTATTATATTCCCAATACCCTTTCAATAAAAAAAAAATAACTTGCTGAATTCGTGTTTAAATTTACATAAGATTCATATCGGCCGTATTATTCTTGTTAATTAATCATGATTAAATCTCAGAAATATAAATTGTTGAATCGTAATTATAAGTTTTATTTTACTGATCTATAAATAGGACACTGGTACTTATTGTTATCAAAATATGCACCATTTGAGTATTCAGTTGAATGTGCATATGTGCAAAGTCGTTGTATTTTTGAAAAATGTTAGATTTAATTGTGATTTGCATGAAGTTTTGAGATATTTTCAACAGACATTTTTTGATGGCTCTATATAATGAATCAGAACAAAACCTTAAATAACTAAGAAATTTAATAATAGCTTGGGGAAATAAGACAAAGCTGTGACAAATCCAGATATATAAAAATTTTTTAAGTTATTTTACACCTATATAAATAATATTTACATGTTTTCCGCAGAGATTTCGGTGTCTCTTTTAATTACCAATTTTGTGTAGAAAATGCAATTATTTTTTGCTTACCATTAAAGTAAAATTACCAAATTTTATTTAAAACATAAAAGCTGTAAAAATCAACCAAGGAGTCTGTTGCTCCGCCCAAAGTTGGCTATTATTTGTAGTCCTAAATAAATCCTCAAAATTTCAGATCAATCCATCAATGAAATTCCGAAAAAATGTCATTTTTACAATTGTTAATAATTAAAAAAAGACGCCGAAATCTCTGCGGAAAACATATAGGTTTTCTTTATAAAAGCCTATAATTAAACAATTTATATATCTGGATATGTCACAGCCTCAAACAGGGTCTTTTTTGCTTATTTCCCTGAATCATAATACATACCTCCATGATGACTGTAACCGGCATTCGAATCGTAAGCTTGCTCTTGTTGATCAAGCATGGAGTCCAAGTTGTGCGCTTGTACAAAAAGATTATTTTCTTGCTGTCTTCTGCGTAGATCATCATGTTGTGCCATTATTCTTGCCTCCATATCGGCCGTTGTCCGCTTCATTTGTTCTTCTGACCTCATTCGTTCTTCCTCGACCTGTCTTTGCTTCATTTCCCATTCTCTCTTTTGACGCTCTTTATCTAATTCGCGAGCTGCCAATTGATCTCTCAGCATGTCAGTTTCGTGTTCATATCTTTCAAATTCCATTTTGGCTTCAAGTTTCGCGATTCCAAGTTCTAAATCTTTCTTGACCTGATCGACTTTCTGATCATGAAGATCATAGAGTTGCTTCCATCTCATTCCATAATCATTCTCGAAAGAGCCGCCAACACCAAATCTAGGTCCAATTTCTCTTTCTTTTAAGAAACCTGGGTGTTTCTTGTTGATATTCTTTTCTGAAAAACCGTCGTTGTCATTCACTACTTCGTAGGCTTCTACAATGCAAGGTCTAACGGAACCTGTTAGGAAAAAGCAACCATCTGTACATTTTCTGATGGCATGTAAAGCTGATCCCTTGCGCACAAAATCGACGATAGCTTCGCCTGTGGGTTTTCCTCTTTCATCAACACGGACTGTTGCCTTTTCGATCTACAACAAAAACCTTATTCTAATCCAACGTTGCGCGGTATGTTTGATTAAATTTCTAAAATAGAATTCAACTAAATCAAGAAATTAAAAACTAAGCTTACCTCTCCAAATATAGAAAATGCGTAGTGCAATAGTTCATTGGTTACATAGCCCGTGAGATTTTTTACTTTAACTGTAGCATTATTTGGAGCATATCTTATCTTGAGACTGCGAGACTTCAAAACAGTTCCATCAAGCTCTCTCTTAGCCTTTTCGGCATTGGCGTGGTAATCTACCTTGATGAATCCAAAATTTTTATCCTTGTTTATAAATACCTCTGCGGTTTCTCCGTAGGGTTTAAACAGTTCAGTTATATCCTCTTCTGTGACTTCAGATCCTATATTTCCTATATACAATCTGTTCCTGCCGCTAAACTTGCGTTCTGTCAAATCTACAGGCGGTACATCAAAGGAGGGACCAGCCATTTGTTGAATCCTCTCCATAAACTTGTCCTCAGCACCTCGTCCCATGCGTCCTCCCATTCTTCCTCCTCGTCCTCCCATATCTCCTCTTTGATCATCACGGCCCCCCTCTCGATCCCTTCCAGGACGATTTCCCCCTTCACCTTCTTGGCGATTTTCATTACCATTGTTTTCATCTTTTATGTTTCTATTAATACCTCCATACCCACCTCTACCACGCCTATTTTCAAAATGGTTTCCACCATGGTTCTGAAACAAATAAAATCTAAATGATATAAAGTACTTCACATAAATATTTTCTAGAATTAATATACAGAATCTCACTAACCCAGAATCCGGAACAAAAGTACGAGAACAACTAGGAAAGAAAATAAACGACATTAACGAGAACACGTCGGACATAATAGAGATATGGGATAAAACAAGGAAAGCAATCTAAACAACATGAGCGACTCTATTAAAGCGTGACAGATAGAAGAAGAAAGAATGGATGTCTGATGAGATAATGGATATAATGGATGAAAGACGTAAATTCAAGAATAAAGCAGTAAATACCAACAGATCCACAAAATTATAAAAACGAAACTTCGAGAAGCCGAAGAAAAATGGTTTTCCAACGAAGGCAGGGATATAGAACAATACGAACGGAAATACGACAGTTACAATATGCACAAAAAAATAAAATCAATGACAAACAAGAGGAAATTCAAGAAGTCACTCAACAGCATAAAAGATAGCGATGAAAATCTTATCTCGGAGCCATCAACAAAGAAACATGGAAATCATACATAGAAAAATTATTTGCATCTGACAGGACTGATTGATCACCTATATGGAGAAGTAGAAACAGGACCTTCAATCCTTAAATCGGAGATAGAAGATACCATTGCGGCCCTAAAAAACAATAAGTCAGCAGGTCTGGACAATGTACCCTGCGAAATATTAAAGATCCTATGTAAATCAGACAAACAATTCCTTGATAATCTTGTACTTTTAGAGCATATAATATCGATAAAATCCCGGAGAACTGGCTGCAGTCAACATTTATTACAATCCCGAAGAAACCAAATCTGTGATGACTACCGGCTTATAAACTTGATCAATCATGTCACTAAAGCGTTTACTAAGATCATTAATAGAATATATGATAAATGTGAGTCAAATATTGATAGATCGCAGTTTGGTTTTCAGAAAGCACTTGGAACTAGAGAAGCAGTTTTTGCTCTCCAGGTGCTTATACAACGGTGTAGAGACGTTGATAAGGACATGTGTTTGTGATTTTTGGATTTTAGAAAAGCATTTGACAATGTCAATAATGAGGAATTGATAGATATTCTGCGAAAGACAGGTATTGACGACAAGGACACTTGAATTGTGGCAAACCTATACTGGGGTCAAACAGCAAGAGCAAAAATTGGCAACGAACTCACTGGAAGTGTGCAGATCAAAAGAGGTGTCCATAATGGGTATATCTTATCCCCACTCCTATTCAATATATATTCCAAGAGGAAATATTTAACAAATGTATGGAAAATTCAAATGAGGGCATAAAAATAAACGGCGAGTTAACGAACAATATAAGATATGCCGACGACACAGTGATCCTGCCAGTACCATATACGAATTAAAACAGGTAATGGAAAGAGTTTATTCAGTTAGTGAGGAATATGGCCTGAGCCTCAACTTCAAGAAGACAAAGTGGATGCTGATAAGCAAAAAGCAACAACCTGCTCGACAATTACGGATAAGTAACACACTAATTGACGATGTAGAATCTTATGTGTATCTTGGCACCAACGTAAATGCAAAATGGGAACAGGCCATAGAAATTAAGGCGAGAATAGAACGAGCTAGAGCAGAATTTAAAAAAGCTCCTCATAAGCCAGGATTTGTCGCTTCCCCTAAAACTACGTCTAGTTAAATGCTACATTTTTCCGATCTTACTCTATGGTGTGGAGGCCTGGACGCTGACAGAGGCGCTCACGAGAAAACTAGAAGCATTCGAAATGTGGGTGTACCGCATTCTTCGTGAACATAGGGGGATTTTATTTCTCCCCCTGAATATGTTGCTAACTGCTTATTGAAGCAGTACCTTCGATTTTGGTTCTATGTAGTTATAATAAAATAAAATTGGTTACCTTATATTTTGGCGATCACACTCTCGTAATTACTTTAAATTACACTTAATAATTAAAACTATATTTTTTTTTATATAACACAAAATCTTTTGTGGAGAAATGAGCGATTTATTTTAAAAGTGACAAATATTAGAGAGTTATTAAAAATTGACAAATATTAGAGTAATGTCAGAAATTATAGAATGACTGTTGTCGACGTCATAAAGGTTAAGAAGGGAATTTCTCGCAATTATGTGCAGCAAATAGAAACAGCATCTGTCTTGCATTATCGGCAATTCGACCTATGAATTTTTTAGGTTGCGATATGCAACATAGTCCCCCCCTTGATGTGAACGCATCAAAAAGAAAAAAAAAAAAAATGTTTATGTACAATTTGAAGAAAGGTATAACTAAAACTAACAAACTATTAATATTCTTGAAGGTGAGTCATAGGAAGAGGACACAGTTTAGCAATAGAGCGAACATATAAGCCTTCAGGAGTTCTGACCTTAACAACTCTTACCTTGTTGTCCTTTCCCGGATATGTCTCAACTACCCGTGCTATAGGCCATTTGAGAGGAGGCGAGTTTTCGTCCTTAAGCAAGACGAGATCAACAGGCTTTATGCCTACCTGAGGAGTGAACCATTTAGGTCTATTTTGCAGCCTATTAAGATAATCGCGGGTCCAAACCTTCCACATATGCTGCTGAATTCTTATGCATTTATTCCACAAAGACAATTTATTTTCTTGAATATCAGAAAGATCTGATTCAGGATAAGACATTAAATTAGATCCAATAAGGAAGTGTCCGGGAGTAAGAAAGGAAAAATCGGAAGGGTCATCTGAGAGCGCACAGATAGGGCGTGAATTGAGCACTGCCTCGATCTGCGAAAGTACAGTGGATAGTTCTTCGAAAGTAAAATTGGAGTTACCCATTATTCTTACGAGATGGTATTTGAAGCTCTTTATGGCAGCTTCCCAAATACCACCGTGGTGTGGTGAGCGTGGAGGGATAAACTTCCATTGAATTTGACACGAAGTAGCGAAAGAGCGAATAGATTCAGAGGTATCACCTTTAAGAAGCAACTCATAAAGTTCTTTCAATTGGTTTTTCGCACCTAGAAAGTTTGTGCCATTATCGCTGAAAATGATATTCGGATTACCCCTTCGGGCGATAAACCTTTTCAGAGTCAATAAGAACGCTTCAGTAGAAAGACTGGAAATTAATTCCACATGCACGGCGCGAGTAGCTAAACATACAAACACTGCCATATAGGCCTTAGTAAGGGGAGCTCTCTTGAGTTTAGAGGTCTTGATGGGAAACGGACCACCAAAATCAACTCCAACATTTATAAATGGACGTGCAATTTGAACTCTTTCCCTCGGGAGATTAGCCATGATTTGAGACGCGACTTGTGCGTTAAAACGGTAACAAGTGAGACAATTTTGTATTATACGTTTGATTTGTCGAAGACCATCAAGAGGCCAGAATTTCAATCTAACATTAGACAGTGTATTTTGAGGGCCTGAATGTAGAAGTCTTCGATGTTCTCGGGTAAGTAATAAATTGACAATATGTGATTTTGAGGGTAACAGTAGAGGAAATTTCTGATCATAAGGAACATCTGAAAGGAGAAGACGACCGCCTACTCGTATCATTTGAGACGAATCTAGAAAGGGATTCAATTTACAAATAGACTTATCTTTAAGTAGACGATTATCCATTAAAAATTGGATTTCCGAACTGAAGAAATGTGACTGGGTCAATTTGATGATCATTAACTCAGAACTAGAGAGTTCATGTGGAGTGAGAGGACCTGTACGTCTATGAGACTTAGCTCTTACATTGTGAATAAAACGAAGGCAGTATGCAAAAACTCTCTGAAGTCGAGTGAAACATGAAAATTTGCAGAGGGCATCATATACTTGTGAATCTGGTTTTCTGATCAGATGAGTAACCCTTTTGAGTTCAGGCAGTTCATCAACATTAATACTCGAAGGACCATTAGATACAAAGAGGTTGAAATCAAAGTGTGGATCTGACAAAAATTGAGGACCATTAAACCAAAAATCACAATCAAGCAACTGCAAGGGTGTAGCACCACGAGATAATATATCCGCGGGATTGTCTTTCGATCGTACATGTCTCCATGTATGGTTGGAAGTGAGTTCTTGAATTTGAGTTACTCTATTGGATACAAAGGTAGACCAACGAGAAGGGTGTGAGTTAATCCATGCGAGGACGATTTCTGAATCTGTCCATAAATTGACAGAATTTATCTGAGATTGGGATGGAATCAAGACAGAAAGAATCTTCGTAACAAGATTAGAGAGTAATAATGCTCCTAGAAGTTCTAATCGAGGAAGAGTCACAACTTTTACAGGACTAACACGACTCTTTGAGGAGATTAGATTGCAAGATATAAAGCCATTTTCATGTGACGTTCTTAAATAAACACAAGCACCATACGCGCTAAGACTTGCATCCGAAAACCCATGTATTTGAGTACTTGTTACATTGCTAGAATTTTGCAGCAACCTAGGAATCTTGAGATTGGAGATGTGAGGAAGTGTTTGTAAAAATAGATTCCATTCGGTAAGCAATTTTGGACTGAGAGGGTCATCCCAATTCGACCTTTCTAACCAAATCTTTCTCATAATTAATTTGGCAGATACCACTAAAGGGTTAATCAATCCTATAGGGTCATAAATGGAAGCGATTAAAGAGAGAACTTCTCTTTTTGTATATGTATCCTTAACGGTAACCTTTGGCACAAGAACTGAAAAATGATCGGAGTGAAAATTCCAACATAGGCCGAGAATTTTGTTCGTGTGATTTTCAGGATTGATTACATAACTAGCTTCATTAGAGATATGAGAAATACCTGCGAGAAATTCAGGTGAGTTTGCACACCATTTATGAAGCGAGAAGCAAGCGAGGTTTAAACATTCCGTTAATTGACGATGAATTTCGAAGAGTGTTTCGAAATCGTTACAGCCATAAAGCACATCATCGATATAACAGCAATTTAAAAGAGCTTCACTAGCCAAAGGAAATTTGTCGGAATTGTTTTGAGCTAATTCCTTAAGACATCTAGTGCTAAGAAACCCGGAGTTATTTAATCCATAAG